CTCTCATACTATGGACATTTTGTCTGGAGGGATCAGTCGCTGGAGAAGGATATCATGTTTGGTAAGGTGGAGGGTCAGAGAAAAAGAGGAAGACCCCCAACGAGATGGATTTGCCAAGTGGCAGCATCGATGGAATCAAGTGTGGCAATGGAAGTGAGGTTGGCCCAGGATCAGGCAGTGTTTCATTCTGCATAAGGTCGCTATGGGTCAGTACCGACTTGCTGGCACCTAACAACAACAACCATCTCCCAAGAGTCTCCCTAATGATGAGTACTTTGTACATATTATAGCCAAATCTCACAACTCTTCTCTTCAAAGGTTATTTGTACAAATCCTGTAGATTAATTAACTACAAACCCTTCTATTGAAAACCAAAATGTGTAGCACGCCAGAGAGACCACTATGAAGATATAAAGACTGTCCATCTTATTGAAGACTTTGTGAGAGAAAAAGCTTTTGACTCCCTTCTGCATCTCCAGCACCCAGCAAGGTAACTGGGATAGTGTATGACCTCAAGATATCTTTGTTCAATAATAGATGAATGAATGAATACATTAATGAAGTCTTCAAACTAGTAGGTGGTGCAAGAGAGCCACGGTTGAAACACAAATGCCTTCACAACAAAGCCCACAAACTCTTTCTTATATCTAGAGTAAAATGAGCAAGGCTTCAGAACCAGATAAAAGTAGTTTCTGCTAATCTCACGGTCAGCAATTCGAAACTACCAACCGTTCTGCAGGAGAACATTGAGGCTTTCTGCTCCCCTAAAAATTTATAGCCTTGGAAACCCTGTGCAGGGTGGCTATGAGTCAGAACCAACTCCAAGGTACACAACCATCAATTTAGCAGAGAGAATAACCTCTTAGCCTCTTCATGTTCTGTACTTCCTCTTTTCACTGCTATCCATTTTTCTGTCAGGGACTGGTTACTTCGTGTTATTTCTGGCAGGGTTTTCTTGGGAACACTTGTGAAACTATTATCCTTCAAGGAAGAGAGAAAAAGTGATCAGGTAAACACATACACACACATGCTGAGTAATAAATAAAACAGTAAAGCAGATAGCATCAGTGGTAGACTGACCCCCGGCAATAGTATTGGTGGAAGGGGCTTTGGCCTCAGACAGGCCTGGTTGTCCCACTTCTGAGGCCTGGACATTTTGCTTAGTCTCAGTTTTAGTTTCATCATTTATTTAAAAACTGGAAAAACAATATCTGCCTCACCAGGCTGTTGTTAAGAATAAAATCTAGAGGAAGCATTTTTTTTCTTAAAACAGAAGTATAATACCTCATAAAGTGTCACAAAGTCGGCATTCATTCCAGCAAAAATGTGTTTCACTTGAACATTCACAAGGTCTGAAAGAAAGCCATAAGTCCATGCTTAAAGTTTTTAGATGTAAAATACAGATCTGACGCATTCCCACATCAAATTTATTTGTTTATTGGCAATTTATATCCCTGTGAATGGATATTTACTACCAACCGCATACAATATTAATTTTAATAAGACAGCATATCATATAAATCACTTAGTTTAAAACCTAATTTTTCATGTCTTTGCATAATGAAATCAGGTTAACATGCCTTAAAAAGTTTTGACTACATATGAGGGGACTTCTAAAAATTCCTGGAAAAATAATTCATTATCTTGTAATTTCATTTTTCCACGAACTTTCGGAAGCCCCCTCATATATAAATGTTCTAATGCTTAAGAGACTGATTTATTATCTTCTTTTGCATTACTTTAACCTCTAGGAATGATTACGAAATACTATAGGAATCATGCATAAGAAAAAGTATACAAAGTACAAATTCAAAATGAAAGTATTAGAGGAACCACAGTTCTGTGGGCTCCTCTGGAAGGAAGCTGGATAATGTTTTTCCACCAGAAGTTTTCCATCATAAATGAGTGGAGCTGTTCATACCACCAGCAGAAATCAGGCAGTTAACATCAAAATTCTTTGTTGGGGCATCTTGCTGAGTTGAGCTGCTTGTGTGAGTTGGTCGGCAGCCAAAGGATATCAATTGACAAGTGGTGTAGACATATGCAAGAGTGTGGTAGCTACAGGAGAGAGAATACACAACAATATGAATACTGAGATACTCATGGCTTTGGGGGAGATGATGTTATTCATCTTATACTAAGGACCCAGATCTTCTGTCACAATACTAGCATAGAAAGGATTCTAAATAACGTGGATATGCAAATAGTAGATGAATATTAACTTATTACTAACTTTAAAGGTAAACTATTACTGATAGAGGCCTTCTTTTTATCATTTCTATCATTTATGTTTTACATACAGTATTTTTTTTACTTTTAAATGAATTGAGTGATATCCAAAGTGTCCTCATAATTAGGTTGTGCAAAACTTTAAATATATATGTGTAAATATACATCATCGACAAACACAGCAGATGGGTGGTCCAACACTTGTCTATCAGTTTCTCATTCTATGGTGGCTTTCCTGTAGCTATGAAATTGGAAGTTATGCCACTGGCATTTTAAGTATCAGGGTGACCCAGGGTTCACAGGTTTCAGCAAAGCTTCCAGACTAAGGCAGACTAGGAAGAAAGGCCTCGTGATCTACTCCCAAAAATTAGCTAACAAGAATTTTACGGATCACAACCAAATAGTGTCTGAGCAACATTTCATTAGAGTTGAAGTGACTGCTTTGTTTAATCTTGTCTTATCAGCTCAAGCAGGCAAACACCACTGTTTCTGTTATCAACCCATTTTCCCCTACCCTCAGTATCTGTTGTTGTTGTTAAGTGCCATGAGTGAGTTCTGACTCAGAGTGACCCTGTATGGGGTTATCAAGGAGTGATTGGTAAATTTGAACTGTCAGCCTTGCTGTTCAAACCGATCATGTGGTCCAGTGCTTATCCTAGAGCACCACACCAGGACTCCAGGACTCCAGTGCCTAGTAATGTGGTTTATACCCAGTAGGCTACCAATTCATTCTTGTTAAATCTATGAAAAGGAAAAAAAAAAGAAAAACTGAAAACCTTGAACCGCGAATATAAATGAAAGAAATAAATATTCAGAAAGGAAAAGACAGATCAAAATTGCAGCTACGTATTTCAGGGTTTTAAGGTTTAGTAACATTCCATATGAGTCATTTCTAAGTAATAAGATATAATACTTTCCACCTATGCTAACAGGGTCATTGAGTGATGCAAAGAGTTAAGCACTCAGCTATTAAGTGAAATGGCAGTAGTTCAAATTCACTCAGAGGCACCTCAATAGAAGGCCCTGGCAATTTATTTCTGAAAGATTACAGATCAAGAAAACCCTACGGAACACAGTTCTACTCTGAAACAAATTGGGTTATAATCAACTTGACAGCAAGGGGTTCACGATTACCCATGGTTAAGGAATAACACCTGTTACCTTCCACAATCTATCTGTGAAACTGGACCATTAAGTCTTTCTACACGTTGTGGACCTCTCTTCTTAGCCGTGGAGCTATATCCCAACTGTCCACAGCTATTATCTCCAAATGTGAAAACTTGACCATCCTGTTTAAAAGGGGGAGGAATCAGATTAATTTCAGCCTGAAAAAAATATTAAAAGCTTAAAGATTAAACATCATAGAGAGTAGAGCTTCAAAAAGTTTATGGAAAATTTGATTATCATTTTTCTACGAACTTGCTGATGCCCCCCTCCCCATATGAGAACACTATGAGACATACAAACACTATATAAATAAGTCCTCCCTTACTTCTAATGTTGAATGTAGAGTTAACACCTTGAATGTAGACTTAAGATCATTGGTATTCCCTTAAGAATTTGGCATATACTAAGTGCTTATAGATGAAGGAATAGGTATATTAACTGATTTAAGATCAATGCAAAAATTAAACTGTAAGGTTGCTTTATTTATTTGAGCATTTTCCTTAATATAATCTCTTTTGAAAAGATGATGCAATGGATTATATACAATGGAGTCAGTTCCAACTCATAGCAACCCTGTACAGGGTTTCCAAGGCTGTAAATCTTTACGGGAGCAGAAAGCCTCATCTTTCTCCCATGGAACAGCTAGCTGGTAATTTCAAACTGCTGACCTTGAGGTTGGCAGCCTAACTCGTAACCACTACACTACCAGAGCTCCATATGCTCTGGTAGCAACAAACTCAAGGTGAGTAGTTTGCAACTACAAGCCATTCTGCAGGAGGAAGACCAGGCTTTCTGGTCCAGTACAGATTTATAGCCTTGGAAACCCTGTACAGGGTCACTATGAGTTGGAACTGATTCCATGGCACACACTGGACAGCAAAATCGGTTTAACCACAAGTTTGGTGGTTCAAGCTCACAAGCTACTCCTTGGAAATCCTATACAAGTCACTATGGTTTGGAACTGACTGGGAAGCACTTAACAACATACATATATACACATATATGTGTGTGTATTTTAAACAAATAATAAAAACTATTTTGGTCCAATACATTTGAAAACCTAGAAAAAATGGACAAATTTCTAGAAATACATCATGTAGCAAATCAATGCTATCTGAGGTAAAAACATTTGAAGAAATCCATCACAAAAGTAGAAAATGAACAGATCAATCAAAAATCCCAACCAAAAAGTCCTGGCCCATGTGGCTTCATTGGTGAATTCTACCAAACATTCAGAGAAGAGCTGACATTCATTTTACTCTAACTATTCTAGAACACAGGAAAAGATGGAATACTTCTAAAGCATAACCCTGGTACTAAAACCAGGCAAAGACTTCACTAAGAATAGATTAGTGTATATCTCATGAAAATCAATGTAAAACTTCACAAAATCCTAGTCAGTAGAATCCAACAACATATCAAAAAAAGTATACATGATAATCAAGTGGGATTCATACTAGGTATGCAAAGATGGTACGACATTAGGAAAACAACATTGTAACCCACCACATAAATA